TTCCTAATTAATCAAAACTTAAAAGCTGAAATAACTATAACGAATTGAATAAAATGTTTTTAAACTTTTCCTTTAATCCAAAATTAAAATATGGTATTCTTTACTAATTCAATAAATACTAAAAAATCATGCATAGAACAATTGGTTTCTTTGATTAAAAGAATGTTTATATTCAATTTAATATAATAAGTGTTGAATAAGTGTTGCCTCAATTTTATGTACTGAAATAGCTAAACTAGTTATGGAAACTAGTTGCATCATCGATATTTGTTATGGAATCAACGAAACTGTATGTCACCAAAACCACCAGCCATTTTTGATTGAATGGTGAAATTCAGCGCGTGTACATCATTATTATTTGCGGCAAGAATGGCTCTTTGTATGAATTGCAGTAATATTTGGGAAAACGTTTTCAATGAGAGCTAATTGAGAGTCTGCAAATCGTCCAAAGTCGTTGGTGAGAGTAATTAATCCAGATGTCGCATCAACTGGGACTTTTCCATTTCCAACAGCCAACAATTGTTTGTTTGAACTCTCATATTAGCGATAATGTTTTTACCTTATTTCATAAAGGTGAGGTCTCCAGGCAAGCATTCAATTCATCTCCAGGCGTTTCACGGAAATAACTGGCAACGTCTGCCAGAAGTCCCCTGCCATCGATATCATTTAGTCTTAGCACCATTGAACCTTGTATCTGTAATTCCAAACAACTCAAGGGCGGGCCATCTAGCGTTTGCTTTTTGAACTATCGATAATTTTGACTTTGACATTTCGAATGTCGTTGTCAATGTGTCAGATATTTAGCAGAAGGTTTGCGGTTTGCTTGAAAAAAATTGGGAAATATTGAAAACTTTCTTCCAAATTTGGATCTTCCAAATGTGGAGAGCCTTCAACCGAAAGTGCAAGAAAATTGCGGCCAAATTCGGAAAAAATAAAATGCAAAATATGCCGTTTTTATTTGAAAACATGGAAGGAGCCGCCGTAACCGTTAATGGTGTCCTCTATCGCGGCTTGTTGGAAGACTTTTTCTTTCCCCGAACAGAAGGGTAAGACATAGACGTCATATGGTTCCAGCAGGACGGCGCTACGTGCCACACAGGCAACTTCACAATCGATCTTTTGCGCGGTACGTTCGAAAACCGCATAATCAGCCGAAACGGCGATGTCAACTAACCGCCTCGCAGTTGCGATTTAACCCCGTGGGATTTTTTTTGTGGGGTGCCGTCAAGGATAAGTGTTATGCCAACCACCCAAGGACGATTGACGACATAAAGAACGAGATTGAAGTGACCATCAGAGCCATTGAGGGCCTTCCCATCGAAAATTTGTTTAAAAATTGGGTCGACCGAATGGGCTACTGTAAAGCCAGCCAAGGCAGTCTTATGAACAAAGTGGTGTTTTATACATAAACAGGAATATTAAGGTTATCCAAAAAAAAAATTTTTTTTAATATACTCGTTTTTTTTAAAACGGAAATTTTTCCTGGGCCACCCTGTATTTGTTAAATAATACGGTGTAACTTTTGATTGTGTGATGGGATAATGTGTGGTGTGTATGTTGTTGTGTGGTTTAGAAGAGTCCCGTTTCATTTCGGTTGATGTTATGTTATTGATTTGTAAATGATTGCACAAATCATTTATTATAGAATTTTTATATTCTGTTCCCATGTCCGTAATGAACGTCTTCATTGGACCGTACCTTAGAATAAAATTCTCAAAAATCGCCTTTGCTACTGTGCTAGCATTTTTGTTTGGTATTTAGTCAAATCACAAATTAATGTTACTCCGTATTCATTTCCATTTTAAGACCTGGGTAATGGACCAATGGTGTCTACTATAACCCTGTCAAAAGCATGTATTGGCGTATCAGTTATTGTTAAAGGAGTTTTTATTTTTTCTTTTCTGATTTTTTGATTTTTGTCATTTTGGACATTTTTGTATGTATTCAGTAATATCTTGAGACATACTTTTCCAATAATAATGTCTTTTGACCTTGGCCAAGGTTTTTGAGATGCCTGTGTGACCTCCTTGTATTGGATCATCATGGAATGTAGAATACATAGCTTCTTTTTTATACCCTTGCAGAGGGTATTATAATTTTGTCCAAAAGTGTGCAACGCAGTGAAGGAGACATCTCCGACCCTATAAAGTATATATATTCTTGATCAGGATCACCTCCTGAGTTGATATGAGCATGTCCATCTGTCCGTCTGTCTGTCTGTCCGTTTCTACGCGAACTAGTCTCTCAGTTTTAAAGCTATCGCCTTGAAACTTTGCACACACCCTTCTTTCCTTTGCACGCAGTATATAAGTCGGAACGGCTCGGATCGGCCGACTATATCCTATAGCTGCCATATAACTGATTGATCGGAAATGGTATAACTTTGGTGTCTTAGAGTTAGAGAGTTCAAATTTGACACGAGAGCTATTTTTGGCAAAACATTACGACATGCCAAATTTCATAAGGATCGGCCGACTATATCCTATAGCTGCCATATAACTGAACGATCGGAAATGACCCAACTTTCGTGTTTTTGAAGATAGAAAGCTAAAACTTAATACAGATTATATATTTGGCCAGTTGATCCAACCTACCAAATTTCATTAGGATCGGCCGACTATATTCTATAGCTGCCATATAACTGAACGATCGGAAATGACCTAACTTTTGTGTTTTTGAAGATAGAAGTTTGGGACATTTTTAGGTTTGGTTTTTGTATCATAATAAATTGGGTTATATTATCATATTCTCATAAGGATCGGCCAACTATATCCGATGTTTGCGATATATATCCAGTTTTAACTGCAAGGGTATATAAACTTCGGCTCCGCCCGAAGTTAACTTTCCTTTCTTGTATACCCTTGAAGAGGGTATTTAATTTGGGTCAAAAGTATGCAATGCAGTGAAGGACACATTTCCGACCCTATAAAGTTTATATATTATTGATCAGGATCACCTCCTGAGTTGAGATAAGCATGTCCGTCTGTTCGTCTGTCTGTCTGTTTCTACGCGAACTAGTCTCTCAGTTTTAAAACTATCGACTTGAAACTTTGCACACACCCTTCTTTCCTTTGCACGCAGTATATAAGTCGGAACGGCCGACTATATCCTATAGCTGCCATATAACTGATTGATCGGATATGGTATAACTTTGGTGATTTTAAAGTTAGAGAGTTTAAATTTAATAAGAAAGGTATCTTTGGCTAAATAATTCGACATGCCCAATTTCATAAGAATCGGCTGACTATATTCTATAGCTGCCATATAACTGAACGTTCGAAAATGACCCACCTTTCGTGTTTTTGAAGATAGAAAGCTGAAACTTAGTATAGATTCTATTTTTGGTCAGTTTATCCGACCTACAATTTCATAGCGATCGGTCGACTATATCTTATAGCTGCCATACAACTGAACGATCAAAATGGCATTTGGTATAAATACCAACTTTGGTATTTTTGAAGATAGCAGCTTGGGACTTTTTTTTAGATATTTTATTGTAATTAATTGGTTTTATTATCATATTCACATAAGGATCGGCCAACTATATCCGATGTTTGCGATATATATCCGGGTATATCCCTGCAAGGGTGTATTAACTTCGTCTCCGCCCGAAGTTAGCTTTCCTTTCTTGTTCTTTTATTGATTTTATTTGGGTCACCAGGTTGAGTAGCGCTACTCTCAATTATATCAATTAATATTTTATTGCCCATATTTTTAAAATAATCAATTGAAACATATCACTCTCTAACTCTAAAAACTCCAAAGCTATTGCAACTGAGAGACTATTTTGCCAAGAAACAGACGGACGGACATGCTCATATCAACTCAGGAAATGATTATGGTCAATAACACAGTGCAATAGTGACTTCCAGAACAGGATTTTGTATAGTGACATAGTAGGAATTGTTTATGAGGTCGAATACAGCACAAAACCGTGTTTGAAATATTTGTAAAACCCTCAACTTCTTGATTTTTTTTAGAAAAACCCGTTTTTTGGGACTTTTTTGCTATAACACTATAAAAAAACAAGAAAGGAAAGCTAACTTCGGGCGTAGCCGAAGTTGATATACCCTTGCAGTTAAAACCGTATATACATATATCGCAACCATCGGATATAGTTGGCCGGATCGGCCAATAAGGATCTTATGAGAATATGATAATATAACCCAATTTATTAAAATACAAAATCTAAAAAAAGTCCCAAACTTCTTTCTTCAAAAATACCAAAGTTGGTATATCTACCACAAACCATTTCTGATCGTTCAGTTATATGGCAGCTATAAGACATAGTCGGCTGATCGTTATGAAATTTGTTAGGTCGGATTAACTGACAAAAGATATAATCTGTACCAAGTTCCAGCTATCTATCTTCAAAAACACGAAAGTTGGGTCATTTCCGATCGTTACATCGTTAGTTAGGATATAGTCGGCCGATCCCAGCCGTTCCGACTTATATACTGCGTGCAGAAGAAAGAAGGGTGTGTGCAAAGTTTCAAGTCGATAGCTTCAAAACTGAGAGACTAGTTTGCGTAGAAACAGACAGACAGACGGACAGACAGGCGAACAGATGGACATGCTCATATCAACTCAGGAGGTGATCCTGATCGTACATACTTCATAGGGTCGGAGATGTCTCCTTCACTGCGTTGCACACTTTTGGACAAAATTGTAATACCCTCAACAAGGGTATAAAAACAAATTGAAATATCTTCTTCGTTTCTGATATTGATTTTAAGCAGAAAAAGTGGTCAAATTTGCCATAGCGCTTAGGCTTAAGTTAGTAGCATAATTGGAACTGACTTAGGTTACGTAACTTTATATAAGAATAAGCGTTGAAAAGAATTTTCGTAAAATTTTCGATAAATTCCAATAATTTTAATTTTTTTAGGCTTTTTTTTAGTCCCACGTCTGTGCGTTAACCCCCTAAGAATCTAAATTAAAGTATTAAAGTAAACCTATTTTACAAATATATACATAGGTGCATTTATTATATGTTTCAGATTAAGCTCTGTGGTTCGAAAATAATGGGAAATTGTTTAAAAATGGGCAACTCAGATGATATTTCACTTTTAAGAGGTAATGAAAGCTTTAACAGGCAAATCAGCACTTCGCATCCAATTTATCACGTAAGTATTCAATGATTTATAAACTTTATAATAATAAATCATCTAAAGATGCAATGGTAATTATTGTGTGCAACGATAATAGAGAAAATAGAGTGAAAAATGAAATAAAAAACTTTGTTTTGCTTCCTAAGAGCTTCCAAGTTGTAAAAGTTTGGTTGTCATACCCTCTAATACTCAAAAGTGTGCAACGCAGTGAAGGAGACATTTCCGACCCTATAAAATATACATATATGTACATTCTTGACCTGGAACACTTCCTGAGTTGATATGAGCATGTCCGTCTGTCTGTCTGTTTAGTCTCTCAGTTTTAAAGCTATCGACTTGAAACTTTGCACACACCCTTCTTTCCCTTGGACGCAGTATAAAAGTCGGAACGGCTGGGATCGGCCGACTATATCCTAACTAACGATATTACGATCGGAAATTACCCAACTTTGGTGTTTTTGAAAATAGAAAGCTGGAACTTAATACATACTATATATGTATATCCTATAGCTCTCATATAACTGATTGATCGGAAATGCTGTTACTTTTTTCGGATTTTGCATGAATGCTATTTTTGACAAAATAATATGACCCACCAAGGATCCGACGACTATATCCTATATCTGCCATATAACTAAAAAATCGGAACATGCCGACGACACATTCGCCGAGAAGGAGCCCAAAGCCTGTATCAACCTGAGGCTACGGTAGCTTCGAGAACCACATCTGTAGCAACAGGTACACCGGCCGGTGTACATCTGGTGCAGAGAAAGGAAACACACCATCAGTACTGCTCAGGCGGAACCTCCAGTACAGGCTATGGACTACACAGATTGCGACGCTCATGGAAAGGATCGCAAGTCTGGAGAAAGAACTCCTACAGGCAAGGCCAAATGAAGGACAGTCGACGGCCGCCAAGAATCCCGGGGCGGCGAGTATACGCCATGTGGCGCAACGGTAGGGCAGATGTTGAATACAAATCTGACAACGGGACCACCAGAGTCAGTGTCGCCATCCTACGATGAACAGTTGCCAGCACACTTGAGTGCAAATCTGCCACACACAAAGTACATCACGAAAAATTTACAAAAATGTAAAAAATATTTTACTTTAGGATTTTGATGCAGCATGGCGCAGAATCGATCTAGAAATCGTTTAAGGTACTCCGCTTAAGAATCGGATGAGAATTGGAAAATATATATAGAGAATATAGGGAAAAACCCTATTTTCAGGGATCCCATCACGAAAAATTGACAATAAATTTAAAAAAAATATTTTGTCTTAGGATTTTTATGCAGAATGGCGCAAAATCGATTTAGAAATCGTTTAAGGTATTCCGCTTAAGAATTGGATGAGAATTGGATATATATATATATATATATATATAGCCACCACAGTGGACTCCATTTAGGAAAACTCCATTTTCAAGGGATCCCATTACGAAAAATGGACAAAAAATGTTAAAAAATATTTAGTATGAGATATGAACCAATCATATGAGAACCACAGATTCTCATATAAGTCATTTAATTTAACGGTGTTCTAACGATCCCATATGTTGCTTCGCTTGCTGCAATATTGCGATCGAAAGCAAACAGCACAAGCCAAAAAGCAAGCGAATGACTTAATAAAGAAAGCGGTAAAAAAATGCAAATGTAAAATGCATGCAAAAAACATTGCTGCAAAAAAACTGTGCATGTTCTTTGTTTGCTGCAAAATGTTTGAACTCGTGCTTATACGAGCAAATTTGGTTGGAGCAATCAACTTGCTGCAAATTGTTTGCATCGTGTGTACCTAGCTTTATAGACGATGGAAGCTTATCAGTGTACAGATTGGAGAACAATCGAAAGCTACTGAAACCTCTGAAGGGCGAAGCGAGGAAGGCCGAGGGATGTCCACGTACGATCTTATCGGGTTTTTGAGCAGCTACAGCTGCAGCTGCACGTCTTCGTAAACACCATCCAGGCGTTTTTTGCGACGTCGTATTGGTGGGCCTACGCAAACGACGATGTGCAGGCGTATTTCGTTCGTTCCAAAACCCAATGTGCTCCGATGAGGACGATGTCAATCCCGAGACTGGAACTAAGTGCTAGGGACGCGGTTGATGAGCACTGTAAAACAGGAACACAGTATTGACATTAACGGATGCGTACTTTGGACGGATTCCAAAACCGTGCTACACTAGATAAGCAGCACCCACCGGCGGTATAAGCAGTTTGTTGAAAAGCGGTGGCAAAAATCTTGGAATTTACGGAAGTATCCCAATGGTGATGGGTACCAACTGCCGAAAACGTGCCAGACTACGCAACCAATTTAATTGTTATGTATTTTTCAACTTCTTTAAATGATGTTGTACTAATATAAAAAATTAGTTTCTGTTTGCATGCATTTCCAAGCGGAAGTCTTTATTGATAATAGTTTCTCTTCATTAATATAATCTAATTCTTTATTTTTTAATACTTTTAGAATAAATATTCCAATTCTTGTCAACTTTGTTCCCATTTGAAAGTCAATATATTCTAAAAAAATATGCAAATAATACCTAAAAATAGCAATGCCTCATTTTCTTCGTCTTTTCTAATAAGTTTATTTATTTTTTCTGTGTGTTCATTATACCCTTGCAGAGGGTATTATAATTTTGTCCAAAAGTGTGCAACGCAGTGAAGGAGACATCTCCGACCCTATAAAGTATATATATTCTTGATCAGGATCACCTCCTGAGTTGATATGAGCATGTCCGTCTGTCCGTCTGTCTGTTTCTACGCAAACTAGTCTCTAAGTTTTAAAGCTATCGTCTTGAAACTTTGCACACACCCTTCTTTCCTTTGCACGCAGTATATAAGTCGGAACGGCCGGGATCGGCCGACTATATCCTATAGCTGCCATATAACTGATTGATCGGAAATGGTATAACTTTGGTGTTTTTAGAGTTAGATAGTTCAAATTTGACATGAGAGCTATTTTTGGCAAAATAATACGACATGCCAAATTTCATTAGGATCGGCCGACTATATCCTATAGCTGCCATATAACTGAACGATCGGAAATGACCCAACTTTAGCTGCAAGGGTATATAAACTTCGGCTCCGCCCGAAGTTAGCTTTCCTTTCTTGTTTTATTATTCCAATGATTTCATTATTAAGGGGAGGGTAAGGTATTAATTTTTATTTTTTTTTCATTTTTTTTTTATTTTTTAAATTGAATGCATAATATCTGAAGAATATTGTGTCAAAATTTCAAGTCAATTAAAGCAAAATTGTTATTGTTATTAGTTATTGACAAAGTTGCTTATAAACGTTTTACACTGGATTACACTGGTGTTTAAAACTTTAAAGCGTTTTTCCCACAACTCACGTTTTCAAAGTCGGTGCCCCTCATAACTTCAAAACTACTGCACCGATCCTTTTGAAATTTTAAACACCATTTCTGTACATATTTTACGAGGTAACGCTGTCGAGTTTTTTTTTTTTGTTCATAATTTTGATTTCGCAATGACAAATTAACCGATTTTTTCCCAAAAAATTGAGTTTTTCACTTCAAAGTCTTCGAAAAAATTAAAAAATTGCAATTTTCAAAAAACCTTCACAGCGTTACCTGGGGCGAACTATTATCTAACGAATGAATTTTCATTTTTTGATTACAAATGATCCAGCACCGAGTTATGAGGGGCACCGCAATTCAACTTTTTTTGGCGACACGTCCGGACAATTGCTACCATTGCCATATTTTTAAATATTTTTTTGTAAAAATTTGATAAAACATTCTTCTAATGTCATACTTTAATATACCGTTGGTTGAATAAATAAATTTTAACTTTGTCGTCAGGAAAAAAATCACAAAAACATGGCTTTTTTTGCATGATTTGACCTTACCCTCCCCTTAAAATTATGCGATTTAAGTCAAATATGCGCCGTTTTGTTCGATGACGAGTTTCCAACGAATTGCTAACTTCCTACTGCTCTTCTTATAGAAGGTCGCTTTCCTATTGGCAAAAAACTCGGAGGGTCAATTTTCTTTTGTGGCCAACTTTTGACTACCAAGCGCGTTCGCCATGGACAGAAATAGGTAGTTATCACTTGGTGCGAGATCCGGATGCGAAAGAACCTTCCATCTGAACGCCCGGAGCTTTTGGCGCGTCACCAAAGATGTTTGTGGCTTGGCGATGTCCCGATGGAAGGCAATTCGGGCTGTGTTGATCAAAGATGGCCCCTTCTGCATGAGTGCTGCCTTCAAGTGATCGAGTTGTTGGAAAAATCTGAATTGAGCGTTTGGCCATAGGGGAGCAGCTCGTAGTAGATTATTCCCTGCCAATCCCACCAAACACACAGCACACGCAGTCGTTAATACAGGCTTGGCCACCGTCTGGGCAGCTTCACCGCTTTTCGACCACGACCGTTTGCGCTTCGCGTTGTCGATAGTCACTATCCAATCCCAAAACGGGTCGATTTTGTTGCGATTCAAAAGCGATTCGCATGCATCCATACGGTCAAAAATGTTTTTTTTTTCGTCAAGTCGTGTGGCACCCAAACGTCGATCTTCTTTTTGAAACCAAGCTTCTTCAAATGGTTTTTAACGGTTTCATAACACATGCCCAGTTCTTGGACCATGCTACAGCTGCTACTATGCCGGTCTCTTCAGCGACCAATTCAGCGATTTTGTCGCAATTTTCGACGACAGGCCTTCCGGAGCGTGGCGCATCTTCGGCCGCCTCTGCACCAGAACAAAAACGTTGAAACCATCGTTGTGCGGTGGAAAAGGAAACTGTATGCGGTTTTGTATTTATTTTTGCGTAAAAGTAAGTATTAGTGACTAGCAATTTTTCGTTAATTGCTTTATGGATTCTTTCTATAGCGGCTATGCTCTTGCTAGTAGTTATTTCTATCTTAATGATTAATCCTAATCCAGGTTCTTTATCCATTTTTATTGTTTTGGGTTTTCCTAAAATATTAAAAATTTTAAGTATTCCTTTTTACTTTCAATCCAATTTTTGCACTATGGTCCAGCCGAGTCTCAGT